GAGGAAATATCATGTTTTCATCGTGGCTGTACTAATCTACATTCTCATCAATGGTGTACAAGGGTTTCTTTTTTCCATATGCTAACAGCTGTCATCTCTTATCTTTTTGATAACAGATACTCTCCTAACAGATGTGAGGTGATATTGTAGCTTTTTCATTTCTTTCGTGTTTAGTGAAGTTCAAGATTTTTTCACATACTTACTAGTTGTATGTCTTTTTTTTGGAGAAACATCTCTTCAGGACCATTGCTTTTTTATTTTTATTTTTTTTTGAGACAGAGTTTTGCTTTGTGGTTCAGGATGACCTTAAACTATGTAGTCCAGGCTGGCCTCAAACTCCCCAGTGATCCTTCTGCCTCAGTCTCCCAAGTGCAGGAATTGCAGGTGTGCATCACTATGCCCGGCTATTGCCTTTTAAAAATCGGGTTGTTTCCTTGCTACTGAGTTGCTTGAATTCCTTACATATTTTGGACATTAATGCCTTATCAACATATGGTTTGCAAATATTTTTTCCCATTCTATAGGTTTTTTTTCTTCATTGTTTTCTTTGCTTGAGGTAGCTTTCTAGTTTGATGTAATGTGTGTGTGTGTGTTTGTGTCTATATAGCAGTGTTGGGAAAGTTCAATTTTACTGTACTTTTAATATTTGAAATTTTATTGCATTGTGCTACCAGTTAATAAAATGAAGTGAAAGAAGGAAAATGAAAGTCCTGATCATAGTGATAAAATGGGTAGGTTTGGCTGGGCATTGTGGTGCATACCTATAATCCCAGTACTTGGGGAAACTGAGGCAGGAGGATCTCAACTTCCAGCCCAGCCTGAGGAACTTAATGAATTAGTGAGACTGTGTCTCAAAATAAAAGACAAAAGGGGCTGGGGATGTAGCTCAATGTGAAAACCCTGAGTTCAATTCTTGTTACCAAAGCAAAACAAATAAATAAAAAGGGGGTAGGTTTCATAAATAATACAAAGTTGAAATAGCTTCAATTAGAAGATTAACATAAGCATATAAACTTTGTACTCATCTATAGAAAAATAAATAAAAACAAATGGAGAATGCTGGAAACATTGTCAGTGTCTATGCCTAAGGATAGACATATACACTGGTTACTTTGGAAAGGGAGCTCCATTTGTTGTGTATAAGTCAGATTTCTGGCTTTTGCACAAACTTTCAACTTGTTTCTAGAAAAGTAGTTTGCTTTAAAATAGGAGATTATAGCTCTCTATTAATAGTAAAGCTGTTTGATTCAGCAACTTTACTGTACTAGCATGTACTACCTAGAACAGTCTGCTTTGAGAGCATTTGTAGTTTATTTTGGGAAGCAGAATGTCAGTAAATGGATTATGTAAAACTCAGAAAAAGAAAACAAGGAATAATAGCAAATATGCAGGCTGCAAAATATTTTCACAAAATAAAACTTGCAGTTTAATCTAAAGACTAAAACTTTTTCTAAAATAATTGTGTATTTCTTCAAAATTTTAATGGGCTTTTTTGGAGGGAGCGGGGGTTGAGACAGGGTCTTGCTATGTAGTTTAGGCTGGGCTTGAACTTGCAGTGATTCTTCTGCCTCAGTTTACTGAGTGCTGGGATTACAGGTGTGCACCCCCCCCCCCGCCCTGCTTTTAAGATTATCTTGGTTAACATAAAGTTATTGTAGTTAGTGGAAATACAAATATGCTCACAATATTATTTTGACGGTAGCTTTAAAAAGGAGCCGTCGTATAGTTGTAAAAGAATTACAATGAAATGCTGAAATGGGGATGTAGAAATAGTTCTATGCAGGTGCTCTTCTTCCTTTCAAATTATGTTTTAAGAAGTCAGGTGCAGTGGCACACTCCTGGAATCCTAGCTACTCTGGCAGCTGAGGCTGAAGGATCAAAAGTTTGAGGCCAGCCTGGGCAACTCTGTGATACCCTGTTTCAAAATAAAAAAAGTCTGGAGCTGTAGCTCAGTGCTCCCTGGGTTCAATACCAATACTGGAAACAAAAGATTTAGGATTTTTTTTTTCCTCTACAGCTTTATGCTACATTAATTATTGGTGGCACAGGCTGCCCAACTTTCTTTTCTTTCTTTCCTCTTTCTTTCTCTTCTTTCTTGGTAGAGAAGTTAGCTTGTGAAACTGTTATTCTGGGTATGACATTACAGAGTAGCCACAAAAAGGAAATCAAGTAGTGATTGGAAAACCATGCTTTATTTTTAAGGAGAAAGTTTTGCAATAAAGTGTATTTGCTGAAACAGAGTCTCCCAAGGGTGAAAGGAGTAATGACTTAATCTATTCATTGTAGGTTATCATTTTTTTTTTTTGGTACCAGGGATCGAACTTGGGACCTTGTGCTTGCGAGGCAGGTGGAGGCACTGCTGAGCTGAATCCCTGGCCCTTCTGAATAATTTTTAAAAACCTTTTAAGGCTTAAGTAAGCCTAGGCTGGATAGAAAAGTTAGAGAATTTATCAGTAGATAAAAAGATTCCATCAGGAATTTGAATATTTACCAAATTCCTATCATATATGCAAGGCACTAAGCTAGATATGGTCTTGTAAGGTTAATTATTGCCTAGACATTCAAGCACAGCAATATGGTTCAAGCTGCTTTCCATGAGCTTTACTAAAGGGTCTCTGAATTCTACTAAAGGGTCTGAGAATATTGATCTGTGCCATTTAAAACACTGAAAGGCATGGTGATGCACACCTGTGATCCCAGCACTCTGGAGGCCGAGGTGGGGTCTCCGAGAGTTGGGGCCAGCCTGGGTTACACAGCTGAGACCGGTCTCAAAAAACAAAAACCAAAAGCTCTGAGACAACATCAACATTTAAAGCCAAAAGGGATCTTAGAGATAATTTGATACAATTCTCTTATTCTATTATTTAAAAACTAAGCACCTACGTAAAATGCCCAAGAACACAGTTTAATAGATTCCAGCCTGGAGCTCTTTCTCCACCCCTGCTTTCCCAATCTTCCCCAACATTTATGATTCCTTCTTATGTCCACAGCTTAAACAGTTTCAGAGCACAGTTAACAGCTTTTGAGAAACAGTCTAGTTTAATGAGGACATGGTAGACAACACAGTTGGCTGAATTACTACTGCCTTCGAATTCTCAAGACAGCTAGCTGTTCTGACAGCAGATTTCCTGTGATTCTTTTTCCTCCTCTGTTGAACAGTAGCAGGTTGTATCATATGGTGGGAGGTCTTCAATCTCTGGAGTGGGACAGAAGCAATGACTGCAAGATTACTAATCTTAGCTGGGTGTGGTGGTGCACACCTATAATCCTATCACTTGGGAGGCTGAGGCAGGAGGGTTGCAGCAAGTTTGAGGCCAGTTAGGGTACATAATGAGTTCAAGGCTAGTTTGGAATAGTGAGATGAGACCCTGTCTCAAAAAAAAAAAAAAAAAAAAAAGATTGCTAATTTTGCTGAGTCTCAATTTCCTTATTTGTAAAGCATATGTAATAGATAAGCAGGCTGCAGTGAGGAATAGTGGTAACACATGTAAAACGCCTAGCACACAACAAGCACATGGTAGGTACTAAACATACGGAGCTATTAAAATGACGATGATGAATGTTAAGTCTAGAAATGTTTGGCACATAATAGGTACTAAAATATTAGTTCTTTCCTGCTATAAAATTGAGATAACAGCATTATGATTTGTAGTAAATTAACAGTTCATAGGTGAATTGAAACAAATATATAGGGAGAATTTGCAGAGCTTTTGTGACTGCAGATATGAAGTCTGTAAAAACCATGGAATTTTTTTGTATGTATGGTGAGTTTACATAATTATTGTACAGTATAAAGACATCATGTCAAATGTTAACCAAGTTTAAGGTTCATAAAAATGTCTACAATTAGGCTGAGGTTTAAGATAATACCATTAACTTTGTATCTTACAGTTTTAATTTTCTATGAAGGAATATGAGCTAATAAATCAACATTTTTCATTATAAAACATAAATGTACACTTAGTCAACAGCTTCTAATCATTAGGCAGAATTTTAGGAAATATCTATAAATATATTTTAAATCTTTCACCCAAAAGTTTAAAAATAAGTAGGTGTCTTTTCATAAAACTGTTTTGTGCTATATTAAAAAAATAAACTCTACTCTATAATTGATATAAAATTTATCAAGTACAAGGATATAAAATATCTTAAAGAGTATTGCCAATTTCTTTAAAGATTAATAATGTAATTTAATATCTGATACACAGGAAGTTTTTAAAATTTCAAATATTTGTGTTAACTACATAGGTGGAAGAAACAAGACTACATATACAGGAATTTAACAACAATATTTTAGAAAGAAAAACCTTTTAGTAAAAAAATACACAAACACATTTCAAAAGTTTTCTCATGATTTTTGTAGAAGTGCAGTTTTCATTTAGAGCATGGTGGCCATCTTGTTTCAATTTACTTTCAATAACCATTACCCTGGTATTTAAAAGTTAATATCAAAGTTGAATCAGATCTTTTTTTTTTGTACTGGGGATAGAACTCGGGACCTTGTGCTTGTGAGGCAGGTGGCAGAAGCACTGAGCTAAACCCCCAGCCCTCTCCTATCCTGATTTTCATTCTTGTTATTATTAATCTTAGCTCATGTTATGGCATATAATGCTTACATTCATCGAGGTTATTAGGTTCCTGTACATGGCATATCTTTGTTTTATTTCCCCTTCCCCTCCTTCTCACCCTTCGTCCTTGTTCCCCTGGACCCCTTCCCTATTGCAGATTTATCCCCTTCTAGCCTTCCTTGATTATTCTTTTTGTTTGTACTTTGCCTCACTCAAATGAGAGATACCATATGGTATTTAAGCTTGTGTGCCTGGTTTATTTCACTCAACACTATATTTTTCAAGTACATCCATTTTCCCACAAATGTCTCAAATTTGTCATTCCTATAGCCGAGTGGTATTCTATTATATATAGATACCACATTTTCTTTATCCAACAATCATCTATTGATGGGTGCTTACAGGATTTAGCTATTACAAATTGTGCTGCTATAAACATATAATAATCTATTTTATTGACATTCAAATAAAAGCAAACAAGTACAGTTTTGTCAGTGCACAGATAAAAACTTGAGACATTCAGGAGTCAAGAAATGCTAGAAATTAATGCTATGACTCAATAATAGCACTCTTCCAGGTTTATTTTTAATAACGCATGGCTGTTTACCACAGACCCTTCTAATTCCCGTGGGTTTGGGGTTTTTCCAAAAACTTGCAAATTTACATAATAAAACTACTGACTATAACTACCTTTTGTAACTAACTGCTTTCAAGTTCTTTTTGTTTAATTTCACTGAAACTGCCTATAAAAGTGGATGGTTACTGGCAGAAATAAAGAAGTAAGAACTGAATTTCCATATACAACTACATAGTATAGTTGGCTACATTCTACGGCTTTGAATAAAATAAAATCAATATGGAGCCACACATGGCAGCCCAGGCCTGTAATCCCAGCACTTGGGAGGGTAAGGCAAGATGATTGCCACAAGTTTGAGGCCAGCATGGATTACATAGTGAGTTCAAGACCAGCCTGGACTACAAAGACCTTGTCTCAAAAAAAAAAAAAAAAAAAAAAAATCAGTATGTGAAACAAATTTAGTTCCAAAAGTTTGGGGAAATCTTTAAAAAACGACACACTTTTTTTTTTTTTTTTGGTACTTGGGTCCTTGTGCTTGCACAGCAGGCGGTGAAACCACTGAGCTAAATCCCTGGCCCAACACACTTTTAATTATCATAATTATTACCATGTATTATTATGTTGCTTTTTTTCCTCTTTAAAACAGGCTACAGGCTTATTCATGTATTTTTATTTTAACTTGACTAATTTATCAAGAGATTATGTATCTAGCAAACTCAGGAGTCTATCCCAGTTCAAACTTTAAAAATAAAAGCCCAGGTATACAAAGATATTCCACAAGTTCATACTTCAAAGCATATACAACTACTAGGAAAGGGCTTAAATAAAAACATATTTACTCATATTTTAAAATTCTTATGAGTGTAACAGTTTGGAACCTAAAGTAAACTATTTCCCAGCCTTCATAATATTTAGAAAGTGCGTATTAACTTATAGAAAAGCCTCCATTCTCTCCCTGAGGCACATCATATTTAATGCAGACAAAACTCCTATGAACTTGGTTGTCTGGATTCTTAGCCTGCAGTGAATTAGCAAAGGAAAAATGAGGAACTGGCTGAGAAAGGCATGTTATGTACCAATTTGCCTGATACCAAGATCAGGTGACAAAAAGGAAAAAGAAACAAACACAGGTTTGAAAAACAGCAAACTAGGGTCATTTAGTAAAATGGTAAACACTCTTCACTAGTTCCTAGAGACAGCAATATATTTGGGTCCAATATATAATAGGCTAAACTCATAATTCATTGTTGGAAAAATATTTTAAAGATAAAGTATATTGCCTTAAAAACAGAGAAATGTATTTTAGAACTATAGTATTTCTATTTGAAATGGTTAAATAACTTTTAGAGCTTAAAAAAATTTTTTTTTTTTTTTGTACCAGCGATTGAACTCAGGACCTTGTGCCTGCGAGGCAGGTGCAGTGCCACTGAGCTAAATCCCTGGCCCTAAAAAGATAAGTCTTGATTATATGGATAATTCATTTGTGTGGATATCTCACTTATTTTTACAATAAAATGACAAATATCAATATAACTCAAAAACATGGACGTAACCTATTTACATATAGTAATATGGTTCATCAGAATACATGTAGTGAACTTAAGAATCATCACTAATTTCTTTATTTTCTAGATTATATTCTTCCAAAGTTTCCTTTTCTTTTGTACTCGAATATGCTATAAAATCATGAACTTTTCCCTTTAGAACATCTAGTTCATTTTGCATCTTTAATATGCTATTATCATACTGAATTCCTTCCAGGGTTTTCTGCAGTTCCATTATTTCGGATATTGCTTTCAGCATATCATCTTCCATGTTAAACATCTGCATGGTCAGCTCTTCCATTTTCTTTTCCGTTCCCACCAGGTCCTGAGATACTCTGAGAACAGAGTGAATAGCATTTTCAATTGTAGGCAAATACATCTTACATTCCTCCACTTTGGGTTCGTAGTTGGAAAGTTTATTAGTAAGATCTTCATCTCTGGCAAGGAGAGCATTCTGTTCCTCTTCTAACTTCTCAACTACTTTTGTATCAGAGCCAAGCTGCTCTTCGACTCGCATAAGATCTTCCTCTTCTTGTCTTTTTACTGTCCTAATATTTCGTAGTGTGCTGTCTTCCAAATCTTTTAGCCGTTCCGTGAGCAATTTTATTCCTTGTTCAGCTGAGTTAATTTGGACAGTAACTTGAGAATGTATATGCTTTGCTTCTGATTTGAAAATTTCTGTATTACCATTCATTTCTGCTAGGCTTCTCTTCCAGAAATCTGTAATATTTTGGAATTTCTCATTAAGGGTTTGCATCTTTTGAGTGAGCATCTCTTCACTATTCTCAATGTCATGCATGAATCTTTGGAGGGTGGATACTTCCTGTTCAAACTGGGTCATCAAAGACATGGAAGACGTGGCTTCCTGCAGGGTACTTTCAGTAGACTCAAGCTGTATTTATAACACAAAACAATTCCCAAGGCTACTTAATAATATTTATATTAGAGAAACACACTTTAACAATCAGGACCGTAACATGCCAAATTCAAATTCTGAAGATGACTCAAATATCCAAGTATGTCAGAATCACACTGACAAAAACATTTATTACTTTAAAAGCTGTTTTAACAAATTTAGTAGATTAGCTGTATGCCAGAAAAACATATACATGAATTTATAACCCTAGATATTTGCACATTTGCACAGAGGCATTTTCAAAAGAAAGAAAATGTTAGAGAAGTTTGAAGTATATCATTTTCCTTTTTTTCACTCCAATGGACAATAACTTAGATGTAATTTTTTTTTTTTTTTTGGTACTGGGGATCGAACTCAGGACTTTGCACTTGTCAGGCAGGTGCAATGGCACCAAGGTAAATCCCCAGCCCTTAGATATAATTTCTATGGTTATTTGTCTTATTTACTTATTTTGTGTATTTTGAGACAGGGTCTCACTATGTAGTTTAGGCTGGACTCAAACTCACTATGTAACCTGAGTGGACCTTGAGCTTGAGGCAATCCTCCTGCCTCAGGCTCGTGAATGGCGGGATTATAGGCATGCGCCATCATGCCTGGTCCTATTTGGCTTTTTAGAAACTACAACTCAGTGTAAAATTTGTTGCCTTCCCTAAACCCTATGATTCTGGAAGAGTTTCTGTCTGAAAAAAACATTTTTTAGCCCACTTCTTATGGAGAAGGTACTAGAATCATATCTTATAAAAGTAACAATAAAAAAAGAAAGCCAGTTTAGTGAGAAGAGTAACATCAAATGGTAAAGTATTCTAAGAACCTGTAAATTCATAAACCCCAAGTACCTATTTTTGTTTTTGTACTGGAGATCGAACTCGGGACCTTGCACTTGCAAGGCAGGCGGCAGCCCCACTGAGCTAAATCTCTGGCCCCACAGGTACCTATTAATCTATATCTAGAATATGGAAGGACCAGGCCACGGACCTCCTTTTAGTCAACATTAGCACACAGGTAACTTTAGACTGTGGGAAAGCCTAGAAATGATCATTAATCTATCACATGTTTGTAGCATTGTGTTGGAGATATAATACTGAGCAAGATAATTTTTGCCAAAAGCAGTTTGGTTTATTTGGGGAGAAATTTTCTAAGTCTGTCTGCACTATAACAGAAGAGTTATGGAAGCACTTGGGTGGGGATGTAACTCAGACTTCATAAACAAGTATTCTGTAAGTATTATTATTATTATTATTTTGGTGCCGGGGATTGAACTTGGGACCTTGCACTTGTGAGGCAGGCGGTGGAACCACTGGGCTAAATCCCTGGCCCTTCTGTAAGTATTACTAAGATCTGCTGCCAGTCATTTCTCTAAATTGTCCTACACACTACTCCCAGATTAACCTTTAAAAACTGCTATGCCACCAGGTGTGATGCTGCATGTCTATAATTCCACAATTTTGAAGGCTAAGGCAGAACGATAGCTGGGAGTTCAAGGCCAGCCCTGGGCCACACAGTGACCTCAAGGCCAGTCTGAAATATATAGCGAGATTTTTTTGTCTCAAAAAATCACCAGGGATTTAGCTCAGTGGTTCCGCCACCTGCCTTGCAAGCGCAAGGTCCCGAGTTGGATCCATAGTACCAAAAAAAAAAAAAAAAAAAAATCAAAGCCAAACCAAACAACTGGTATGTGCATCAATGCACACTGTTAAAAAAAAAAATCTTTGCTATTTCCTGATACTTCTAGGATAAAGTCCACAACCCTAGGCCTGATAGCCTGAACTCTTATAGTACCTATTACATTATGTATTTGCCAAGTCTAACAAAAAATTTGTTCTGTTCCAGATCTTGGGCTAGACAATGGTTATAAAATATAAATACATCAGGCCAGGGATTTAGCTCAGTGGCAGCATGCCTGCCTCACAAGTGGAAGGTCATGAGTTTGATCCCTGGTACTG